AGAATAGATTTTGGCCTAAATTTTTTACTGCATATGTTTTATAGCAAGAAGTAAAAGATATTGTTTTTTTTTTCTAGGGCAAAAAATTAAAAACTCAGAGGCGATACCACAGATAGCCCCATTTGTGGGGGAAAAAAATGACATAAATTTAATTTGGGTGCAGCGTTGCATGACCGTGCAATTGTCAGTTTATGTAACAGCATCGTATCGCAAAAAATGGCCTGTCAGGAAGGGGGGTAAATTCTCTATATATACAGTGAGGAACAGAAGTATTTGAACATCCTGCGATTTTGCAAGTTCTCCCACTTAGAAATCATGGAGGGGTCTGAAATTCACATTGTAGGTGCATTCCCACTCTCAGAGACAGAATTTAAAAAACAAATTCAGGAAATCACATTGTATGATTTTTAAAGAATGTATTTGTCTTGCACTGCTGAACATAAGTGTTTGAACACCTGAGAAAATCAGTGTTAATATTTGGTACAGAAGCCTTTGTTTGCAATTACAGAGGTCAAACGTTTCCTGTAGTTCTTGACCAGGTTTGCACACACTGCAACAGGGATTTTGGCCCACTCCTCCACACAGATCTCCTCTAGATCTGTCAGGTTTCGGGGCTGTTGCTGAGCAACACGGAGTTTCAGCTCCCTCCAAAGATGTTCTATTGGATTTAGGTCTGGAGACTGGCTAGGCCACTCCAGAACCTTGATATGCTTCCTACGGAGCAACTCCTTGGTTATCCTGGCTGTGTGCTTTGGGTCGTTGTCATGTTAGAAGACCCAGCCATGACCCATCTTCAATGCTCTGACTGAGGGAAGGAGGTTGTTGCTCAAAATCTCACAATAAATAGCCCCATTCATCCTCTCCTTAATACAGTGCAGTCGTCCTGTCCCCTTCGCAGAAAAGCACCCCCAAAGCATGATGTTACTACCCCCATGCTTCACAGTAGGGATGGTGTTCTTGGGATGCAACTCATCCTTTTTCCTCCAAACACGGCGAGTGAAGTTTAGACCAAAAAGTTCTACTTTGGTCTCATCTGACCACATGACTTTCTCCCATGCCTCCTCTGGAACATCCAGATGGTCATTGACAAACTTCAGACGGGCCTGGACATGTGATGACTTGAGCAGGGGAACCTTCCGTGCAATGCATGATTTAAAACCATGATGGCGTAGTGTTCTACCGACAGTGACCTTTGAAACTGTGGTCCCAGCTCTCTTTATGTCACTGACCAGCTCTTCCCTTGTAGTTCTGGGCTGATTCCTCACCTTTCTTATCATCAGTGATACCCCACGAGGTGAGATCTTGTATGGAGTCCCAGTCCGAGGGAGACTGACAGTCACCTTTAGCCTCTTCCATTTTCTAACAATTGCTCCAACAGTTGATCTATTTTCACCAAGCTGCTTGGCAATTGCTCCGTAGCCCTTTCCAGCCTTGTGGAGGTCCACAATTTTGTCTCTGGTGTCTTTTGACAGCTCTTTGGTCTTGCCCATGGTAGTAGTTGGGCGTCTGACTGACTGTGGGGTGGACAGGTGTCTTTAAAGAGCTCAGACAGGTGCTACTAAGTTAGATTAATGAGTGGAGTAGATATGGCTTTTTTAAAGGCACAGTAACAGGTCTTTGAGAGCCAGAATTCTTGCTGTTTCTTAGGTGCTCAAATACTTATGTTCAGCAGTGCAAAACAAATAAATTCTTTAAAAATCATACAATGTAGGGGGGGGCGCATGCGCGGCCGGCTCCGGGGATGGACGCTCAGTAAAGAGAGCTCAGTCCACCCGCCAGCACGATCGCGGCACACTAGGACACCAGGGAGTAATTAACAGCTCAATTGAGCCATTAACCCCTCGCCATCCGTAAGGGCTATGACCCGCAGGAGAAAAGCACCCGGTCACCCACAAAAAAATTACGAGTTTTTACCCTGCACTGGCACCCTGCAGCCAAGATGGCGCCGACCCCCTGCTGACAGGCTTGTCTGCCCAGCAACAGCAGCAAGGAGAGGACACAGACCACCAGGTGAGTCCTCTCTCCCCATCTCCCACAACCAGCAGCCCAGCAAAATCCAGACCCAGGCTGGATACAGGATCACCCCCTGACAGCCTTCTACCTTCTCTCTCAAACACTGCACTATCTGCTTCCGCTCCATCTTTGATTGATTCCTATCCTGCTTCTGACCAACCTATCACGGAGATTTCCATGAAGAACATGCTCCTTTCCCTGCGACAGACGCTACATATTGACCTGACTGCCTCATTATCCCAAATTTCTAATACGGTCCAAAACCAAGAGAAACGTATCCGCCATATCGAAAACAAACTGGGAGAAATGTGTACCACTCATAACGATCTTATAGATGCACACACAGATCATACAACAGACATCAAACAAATCAAGCTCAAATTGGCAGACTTAGAAGTTCGCTCCCGGCGGAACAACATAAAATTCCGTGGGATCCCAGAAACCGTTGCCACAGACGCCATTGTACCTTGGAATTGGCCATAGATCGAGCACATCGAATCCCCATCATTTTTACCTGCGATGATTCCCAGAGATATACTGGTGCGCATACACTTCTGCCACATAAAGGAGAAAAAATAATGATTGCAGCCAGACATCTGACCTCCATTCCTCCAGCCCAAGCAAACATTAAATTGTTCCCAGACCTCTCTAAAGCAATGCTAACCAATCTTAAGAAGCTCATTAGCATAACTAAAGCACTATGAAACCACAACATCGCATATCAATGGGGCTTCCCTAAGAAACTGAATGTCAAGTACCAAGGCAGATTCTTCACAATCAACTCCCTAGAGGCAGGCATCAAGTTACTCAAAACATGGAGCATTCTACCAGCAGACTCCCACCAGTCAACATCCAACCAACTGCAACAAATGGAAACAGGAAGATCATAGCCTTCAATCAAGCATATTACCTCCACGTTCAATGCCCTGGACACCACTCTCTAACACACTAGCTGGCAATCGGCCCCCGATCGATCGAACATACTGATCACCCAAGTCCGTTTCAAGCATGAGCTCTCGGAAGACTCATGCTTTCTTACACCCCCACTTTACAAAATAGCAGATACTGCTACGCATGTTACTAGCGTTGTTTGCAAGGCTTTTTTACCCCTGTTATTACCCTGGTTCTTACCCCAAACTACCAGTCATCACTCGCAAAAATTGCCCTTTTTAATAACCCCCTTCACAAAGTTAAACTCTCAATCAACAAAAGCAGCAATCATATGCTCACAAAACCACACACCTGATGATCCATCATCTCCAATACAAGGACGTCCGCTCCTCTTTCTGACATCTGAACCGCCAAAACTACGATGTTCAAACCATCTACAATCAACAAAATGATTACTATATTTTCGCTAAATGTCTGCAGTCTCAACTCCCCTTCAAAAGATCCTTGCACACAAGAGAAATCCGCGCTACCAAACCTGATATCATATTCCTACAAGAGACCCACTTCGCCTCTGCAAAAATTCCTAAATTCAACATCCCTCAGTTCTCTACAGTTTTTATGGCAATGATTCCCAAAAAGAAAAACATCATTAGAGCCGTAAGAGACTCCCTGAAGTTTCAGTTTATTGCGGAAATAGCGGATCCACAAGGTCGCTACCACATACTAATCTGCAAAATCAACGACTCTACATATACCTTAGTGAATGTCTATGGCCCTAACACCAATCAAATCCACTTCTTCAACAAACTTAACTCCACCATTAATCGACACAGAAATGGCAGACTACTCATCGGAGGCGATTTTAACATCATCGGTAATCCTCTTCTGGACTCCTCATCTACCAAAAGATCTTCAAAACAAACGTTCAACCAATTTCTCCACTCCATCGATCTCTATGACATCTGGAGATGCCAACATAGTACAGAAAAAGACTATACCTACTATTCTCCACCCTACTCAACCTACTCTAGAATTGACTTTTTCATCACCGATAAATGGACGCTGCAACACATCATCACCTCCTCCGAGATCGGCACTATCACGTGGTCAGACCATGCTCCGATCACAATCTCTCTTGACAGCAAACAACATTCGGTGATACCCCATTTATGGCGACTGAACTCGTTCCTGATGAAAAAACCAAGACTACAAGCAACAGATACTGTATTAGATGCACACAGAACATTCTTCAAATTCAGTGACACCCCTGGTTTATCCATAACCACTCTCTGGTCAACATATATTGCATACATGAGAGGTATTCTAATACAACTAAATGACCGCATCAACAAAAAAAGAACCCAACAAATAGATAATCTCCTAACATTAATCAAAATAAATGAAGAAAAAAACAAAATTCCCCCAGACCCAACAACTTTTGCGTCCTTAACAGCAGATAGAAATAAATTAAAATCCCTCCTACTCCATAAATATGATCTGAATCTCCAAAAAATGAAAGCGAAAATTTTACTCACTTGGTAACAAAGCCAGCTTGTTGTTAGCCAAATTGGTAAAACAAAAACAGCTGAAATCCAAAAAAGCCTCAATTAAACACCTATATATGAATACCCTGAACACTAATCCCAAGACATGGCAAACGCCTTTGCAGTATACTACCAAAATCTTTACAACCTCAAAAATGACTTTAACACTAGAGATGAGCGAATCAAAGTAGGCGAAGTGGAATTCGTTTCGAATAATAGAAAAAATTTTCGATTCGCGCCGAATCCGAAAATTAGCATACTTCGGATGCGCGAATCGAAATTTTTCCTAAAATGGCGGCGACATGTGCGGCGACGGAGCGGGGGATGTCTGGGAAGGCGCGCAGACAAGGCGCGCTGACCCATAATGCATTCATTAATGACATGTGATCGCATTAGCCAATCAGCAGCCAGCCAGCCAGCACTGTGTAATGGTTGAGCTATAAATGGCGGCCATTTTAGAATTCTCCATTTGCCTCCAGTCATTCAAGAGAGGCAGACCTCTCTGTATTAGGGACAGAGTTAGGGACACAGAAACGTTACTTAGGGACACAGAAACGTTACTTAGGGACACAGAAACGTTACTTAGGGACACAGAAACGTTACTCAGGGACACAGAAACGTTACTCAGGGCCACAGAAACGTTACTTAGGGACACAGAAATGTTACTCAGGGCCACAGAATCGTTACTTAGGGCCACAGAAACGTTACTCGGGGACACAGAAACGTTACTCAGGGCCACAGAATCGTTACTTAGGGCCACAGAATCGTTACTTAGGTACACAGAAACGTTACTTAGGGCCACAGAAACGTTACTTAGGGCCACAGAATCGTTACTTAGGGACACAGAAACGTTACTTAGGGACACAGAATTGTTACTCAGGGACAGACACTGAATTGTTACTCAGGGACAGACACAGAATTGTTACTGAGGGACACAGAATTGTTACTGAGGGACAACACAGAATTGTTACTCAGGGACAGACACAGAATTGTTACTCAGGGACACAGAACTGTTACTCAGGGACACAGAACTGTTACTCAGGGACAGACACAGAATTGTTACTGAGGGACACAGAATTGTTACTGAGGGACACAGAATTGTTACTCAGGGACACAGAATTGTTACTCAGGACACACACAGAATTGTTACTGAGGGACACAGAACTGTTACTCAGGGACACAGAACTGTTACTCAGGGACACAGAACTGTTACTCAGGGACAGACACAGAATTGTTACTGAGGGACACAGAATTGTTACTGAGGGACACAGAATTGTTACTCAGGGACAGACACAGAATTGTTACTGAGGGACACAGAAACTGTTACTCAGGGACACAGAACTGTTACTCAGGGACACAGAACTGTTACTCAGGGACAGACACAGAATTGTTACTGAGGGACACAGAATTGTTACTGAGGGACACAGAATTGTTACTGAGGGACACAGAATTGTTACTCAGGGACAGACACAGAATTGTTACTGAGGGACACAGAACTGTTACTCAGGGACACAGAACTGTTACTCAGGGACAGACACAGAATTGTTACTGAGGGACACAGAATTGTTACTGAGGGACACAGAATTGTTACTCAGGAACACAGAACTGTTACTCAGGGACACAGAACTGTTACTCAGGGACAGACACAGAATTGTTACTGAGGGACACAGAATTGTTACTGAGGGACACAGAATTGTTACTGAGGGACACAGAACTGTTACTCAGGGACACAGAACTGTTACTCAGGGACAGACACAGAATTGTTACTGAGGGACACAGAATTGTTACTGAGGGACACAGAATTGTTACTGAGGGGCACAGAACTGTTACTCAGGGACACAGAACTGTTACTCAGGGACACAGAACTGTTACTCAGGGACAGACACAGAATTGTTACTGAGGGACACAGAATTGTTACTGAGGGACACAGAATTGTTACTCAGGGACAGACACAGAATTGTTACTGAGGGACACAGAACTGTTACTCAGGGACACAGAACTGTTACTCAGGGACACAAAACTGTTACTCAGGGACAGACACAGAATTGTTACTGAGGGACACAGAATTGTTATTGAGGGACACAGAATTGTTACTGAGGGACACAGAATTGTTACTGAGGGACACAGAATTGTTACTCAGGGACAGACACAGAATTGTTACTGAGGGACACAGAATTGTTACTCAGGGACACAGAATGTTACTCAGGGACAGACACAGAATTGTTACTGAGGGACACAGAATTGTTACTGAGGGACACAGAATTGTTACTCAGGGACACAGAACTGTTACTCAGGGACACAGAACTTGTTACTCAGGGACAGACACAGAATTGTTACTGAGGGACACAGAATTGTTACTGAGGGACACAGAATTGTTACTGAGGGACACAGAATTGTTACTCAGGGACACAGAATTGTTACTGAAGGACACAGAATTGTTACTCAGGGACACAGAATTGTTACTCAGGGACAGACACAGAATTTTTACTCAGGGACAGACACAGAATTGTTACTGAGGGACACAGAATTGTTACTGAGGGACACAGAATTGTTACTGAGGGACACAGAAGTGTTACTGAGGGACACAGAAGTGTTACTCAGGGACACAGAATTGTTACTCAGGGACACAGAATTGTTACTCAGGGACAGACACAGAATTGTTACTCAGGGACACAGAATTGTTACTCAGGGACACATAATCGTTGAATTAAAGAGCTTATGTCAGACAACATGCAGAGGAGTGGCAGAGGAGGCAATGTTTTAGGAGCGAGCAGACGTGGCAGCAGAGAGGAAGGGGTCGAGGCAGCACTAGTCGCAGCCAGAGGCCAGTGCTCCCGGTGTCATCCAGCGGTCGTGTCTCCACCGACAACCCTGCCGTCATCGATTGGTTGGCTCGGTCGTCTTCCTCTTCCCAGGTCACCTCTGACACCTACAGCCAACGGTCGGTGTGTACGTCAGACACAACCGTTAGTTGGCATGGGCCGGGAGCAAGCCCACTGAAATCACGTGTCCTCTACCTGCCCCTGTCCTTTGGTGTTCCCTCACCAAGCGAAGTATCGCATGCTGTGGGTTCAGCCCCACTGTACAGTGAGGAAGAGCTAACAGAGGGCGGTCAGGAACGGGGGGAGACATCCGCCTCTTCAGCAGCCAGGCGAAGAAGTACTGGCGAGGAGAGTGGCTCGGTAGCCGGTCTAGAGACAGGTCTGTCTCCTGACCCAGACGCAGCCGAGGGGGCTAGTAGTGAGGCGGAGACCCTAATTGATGATGAGGAGGTTGATCGCACTTGGCAGCCTTCGTCTGTAATCAGGCAATTTCTTCCGCATCATCAGGAAGTAGCCAGTCAAGCCACAGTGAGGAGTTGCGGGGGGCATAGTTTCCTACACGGCGGTGTGGCAATTTTTCGTCATTGCGCGCCGAGGAAGTAAACGTAAGCCGTCCCATGTCGAACTATGTGGCAGAAAGTCAAGCGTGTGGGGCCAGGGGGCCCATGTTGGGTACTACAGCCTTGCGTCATGCATGCTGCCAGCGTTCGACATTTGAGTGTTCATGTGGAAAAAACCGTGATAAAGCCTTCCGGGGTTGCTGCCTGTCTCCATCGCCAACTCTGCCATGTCACAGCTCCTTTACAGGTCTCCGTCACCGGACTGGCAATGGCCCCTGGTATCATTTTGTAAGGCTCCATCGGGTCTGCTGAGCAGATATTACGGGCCTCCCATTGCTGCTGCCAGGCCCGTAATCTGTCATGGGCCCCCGTACTGCCTCCTCTTGCTGCTGGCCAGGTCCAGAGTCTCTCACGAAACCCGCGGTGAAAAAAGTGAACGTCCCCCTTGTCCAAGTTGCTGGTGGGTGCGTCCCTCCCTTTCCAAGTGGTGGACCTTTTTTTAAAAAAATGATGGGGTTGTGCCGCCCCGCGGGGATTGGGGGTGCCAAGCCGGCAAAATTTTTTCGCCAAAAAAGGCGTGCCCCGCCTTTTCATTCCCCATGGGAGAAGAGATGGTGGGCAAGTCCTTTTTAAACATGTCGGTTCTGCCCCCGTTTTCCCGGGAGGGGCCCAGTTTTGGAGCTGTAAATAAAAGGGCAGGGACAGTTTCATTGGGCATTTACGGGCCCACTGGGTTGAAGTGGTGCCGGCACGCCGCACCAGAAATTTGGGGGGGGGGCAGGTCACGCCCCTTTTGCCTCCCCTTTGCAGTCCTTGGTCCAAACAAAATGTCGCCCCTCTACCCCCTCTTCTTCCGCCGTTTTCTCAGCCGCCAACCCCCTGCCAAGTCCCATTACCCGCCCCGGGTTTTCACATGTGCAGGGGGCAACCCGGGGTTTACGCCGGGTTTTGACTGCACCTTGGGAAGCCTTGGCGAAGTTAGTCACACGGGGAGGAATTTTTGGTGTAAAAGAACAGAGAAATCGACAGAGGCTGTCTGCGGGGCCAAATTTAAAAACGGGGAACCTTTTTTTGACCCACAACGGGAAAGGGAAAATGGTGTATTTCTCTGCGTCAAGGGGTTGTGCCCTGCGCCATGGGGATGGCCTTTACGTGTTCAATCTGGTTTTTCAAAGCGGTTCCTTTAAAAAACCCCCCTTTCCCCCCCGCCTTAAACCTTTAAAAAAGTCACGTAACTTTGCATTTCATTTCGCCCCTTTCCCCCCCTAAAAAAAACGCAAAGCCACCCTCCTTTTAGTGGGAGCGGCAGAAAGGAAAATTTCCCCAGCATCGGGTGATCTGCGAGTTGCAACAAGGTGGAAATTTAACCCTAACATGGGTTTGACCGGGCCCTTTTTGAACAAACGAAAGGCCAAACCCGATTTCCTGATGTTACAAGGGATAAAAAGGGCCCCCCCTGTTTTTAACTTCGAAGTCAGCCTTGGCAGCTCAAAGCGTGACACCTGCCGCATTTCTCAGGCCCTTTGAGGAGGCCACGCTATTCTGGGGGTTTGGGGGAGGACTATGGGATGGGAAGACGTCATTCCTCTGTTGCACGTCCTGGGAAAAAATGCTGTTAAAAAATGGATGGTCAGGGGGGCGGGGAGGGGCGTGGCGCACAGATTCAAGCCACATGACCCCCGTGGGGGCCCGGGCAGGAAGAAGGGGGAAGGGGTAGAGGAGGACATTTGTTTTCCCCAGGAATTTTTGAGTGAAATGGGTGGTTTTTTTCCCCTCAGGGAAAGGGAGTGGAGGGCAGGGGGCTCTGGTAGAGGAGGGGGGGGCAGAGGACCCAGAAGCACCGTGGGGAGTATGTGTGGGGATGGGGGGGAAAGGGGGTCCCCCGCAAATTTCCCTTGGGACAAAAGGGGCC